AGTCGTGCTGCTCTCGATCGTTCTTCAAAAAGAAAAGACGCGCGCGTGCGATGGAACATTTTTGCAACGGCATATAAGAGTTTGTTTGAAAAAAAAAAACTAAGACATAAGGACGACAAGATTGCACTGGTCCGAGATTTTTAGTTTTAAATATTTGCGCGTGTCGTGCGTCGGAGGAAACAAAAAAAATGAAGTGAAGCGCGCGCCCGCGTAACAAAAGAAAGAAACATGCATAGAGTCGAGAGAGAAAGAGATGAAATGCGGGACAAGATTGTCTCTAGCACGCACACGCGCGATACGACAGACCGAGGCTTGTAATGGACGGACTAATTTGCGAAATTTAAATTCCGCTGCGGCCGCCGTACGCTATACCTCCCAAGAAAAGTCCTCGTTATTTATGCGTAGCGCCGCTCACGAGGCGCGGGACGATACGAATCTCTCTCTTTCTCTCTCTCTATCTCTGGGCAAGAGCTTACTACCACTGTACTACCATTTTGTATACGGCTTATCAAGTCCAAACGCGACGCATAAAATTTTGTCCCTTTCGGGGAATATACAACTATATATGGCATGCGTCTCTTTCTTGCGTTCTCCATGGTGGGCCCCGTGCATAATCCGAGCGAGCAGATAGGGTGTAAATAGTACACACACGCGCGCACACACACTCGTCGGGGGGAAGAAGAACAAATAATCATTGAAAATCGGAAAATCTTGTACATAATAGCATTAATACACATGCCACAATTGGCCTCTTTGTTCGCATTGATGCGCGCTCGATCGTGTACATTATATATATTCAGCGGGAGCAGCGTCAGCAGCACATACTTGACGAGAGAACGAACCCCTCGACGTTCATACGCACAGACGCGTGTGCACCATTTCTTTTTTTTCTCTCTCTCTTTTCGGTAGCGCGCATACATATACCGCGTACATGGGATGTCTGATTTTTTGCCGACGATTCTGTAAAGAATATGCGTATGCCTGCCCGTGTGTGTTGTGCCCCTCTTTTACCTTTTCAAGTACGCCTGAGCGCGATGGAGCGAGTTTTATGAGAGAGAGAGAGAGAGAGCTCCGAGCGAGAACGATTTTTCGGCTGTATGCGGACGAACGAGTTGTTTTATATATTGAATGCGCATAGATTCGGTTTTTATGAGAAAACAATTAAGTGCGATGCGCTTTTGATGCTTTTTTTCTTCATATAATATACAACCAATGCTCTCTACACAGCACGCTCGCGATCTTTTGATGATGCTTGGAGAGAATGAAAAATTTCACGGAACGAATTTCTATACGCGTAAAGGTGTGTAATTATTTCGGACTGCTGCTGCGCCATAACAAAATCCCGCGATAATTACGCCCGCTATTATGATTTAGTATAAACGGATAAAAATGTTACATTGCGTATCTTAATAGAGCACTATTGAAATAAAATTAAACAATTCAGTAACACTTTTGACACAAAACTCAATTTTAATGCAGATTTAATGTAAAACCAAAGGTAAAAATTCAATTAATTAATATTAAATGTCTTATGAGGTACTTTTACATGAAATCTTTGTTGAAAAGCAATGTGTGGGTATCGATTTATTTTTTTACTGCCCAAGAAATTCATCAAATGCAATCATATAGGTAAATTTAACGCAAAAATGAAAAAAAAATATTGAATTTTACATTGAAAATAAGTGTTTCAATGCTGTTTTATTTTTGCGCTAACTGTACAAAATATTCATTTTTCTTTCGCTAGATGGCGAGTACAATTATGTGTAAATCCGTAAGTCGCAAAGGGAATATAATTCTATAGGAACCCAGTGACAAGAGTATTACAAGAGTACCGTCAAAGTGAGTTTTGAGATACTATTATACCGCAAATGACATATTTACGATCCAAAGAGCTTTTCCCTTTTACAGTAACTGTAAAATATTTTCAACTGGGTAGCCTATATAGGATCCATAAAACTGCCATTATCCAAATCAATATCTAATCGCTCTATCCATATTAGTTTATACTCTTGTTCGAGATCATCCCAATCGATACTGTCAACGTCGTCTATCTCTCTCTTTCACAAAAAGTCCTCACTCTCGTATTTAATTTATGTACAAATGGGGTATATACTCTGTATATATGCATTCAAGGGGCTTCGTTCGTATGAGCGTAAACATCATCAACGAGTCGTTGAGCATCATCGTCGTCGTCGTCGTCGTCGTCGTCGGCGGCGGCAAGTCGACTGCTCTTATTCCGCCGCAATGAGCACACACAGAGAAGAAGAGCGCCGATCATCGCGTTGAGCCCTTGCGCGCGCATTGGACCCATTCGAAAGTCGTTTTTTGCGAATTTTATAGTGTATAAATGGGGGTTTCAAGAGTGAGTGAGAGAGAAAAAGATAGAGACCTGAGAGGAGATTGGCATCTAGTCGATCCCTCGCGTGGATGAATGACAATTTATTAATTTCAATAATAATAAAAAAAGCACAATCCACTTTGAATTACCTCTTTGTGCAGGTTCTAAGTCTGCTTAGATCTAATCCAATCAGTCGGATCTCCGTTTAGCTGTACAGATGCACAATAGGTAAACACACTGCCAATAGCACATTCTCTCCGCACAATAGAATCATCAGTGCCGAAGAAGAAGACGAAGGAGAAGAATATGACGACGACGACTATGCGCAATGCTCGCTGTATCGCGACGAGAACCGATTTGTGCAGATGTGCTTTTTTTTCTCTCGCTTTGGCAGCGAATCTCACATGTACGCGCACACTTGAAAAAAAAAGAAACACACGCGCGAGAGATGAATATCAGGATCCGAAAAAAATCGCCCTCCCAAATCGGTAAATATACTCACTTCTGTTGCCGTCGTGAAGTCGTTTTATACGTATATCTGAAATGCTAGGCAAAAAAGCGATACGCTTTAAATGATTCACGAGGTGCGGATAGATCACTTGCGTAATCTCGATGATGAGCTCTTTTTGGATATCAAGGCAGAGGAAAAAAATAAACAGCAATCATTTTTTTCCATATTTGTTCGTCGTTGCACTATTTTTATTTTATTTCTTTATTCGTTTGTTTTTTAATAGTAATTCTTCACAGTTCGTAACTCGTTGACAACATAAGACTAAATAGATTTAGTTTGCATTTTGTCGTTCCCTTAACTTCAAAAAACAATATTGTGCATGGCGTGTTGTGTTTGATAATAATTCATTTATTGGCCATTTACACACATCAGATCGACTGTCTGCTCATGTGTGTGTTTGTAAATATATATCCGTTAGTAACATATAAAAGTCGATCAGTCGATATTTTTCTCTTTTTTTTTCGTATGTGCTCGGAATATAACATTTATTTAATGTACGTTTATGACATAATACGTTATTATTATCTATTATTCATAATATGCATTTATTAATTGTAATTATAATATAATATAATATATTTCCGATTCTCTATCGTAGTTTTTATGTATAAACGCATGTTCGCGTCTGACTCGTATTATTAATTTATTCTTTAATTGTTGTTTTGTGCAAGAGTTTCGGAATTTGTTTCTTTGCAATGATTGCTCTTAGTTTGCTTTATGTATATCGATGCAAAAATTGTACACAGACATAATAATAATATAGTAACTTTTCACGTATGAGATTTTTAAATACCATTTTCATCTATTTGTTTTTTTTTCGCGCTTATTTTTGTGGCACTGCGTTGATTAAGTTTATTGGCAGTCTTGCTGCTTCTATTTATTTCGGAGCTTAATTTGAGCTTGTTTAATTTCTTTACCGTCACTCATCAAAATTTTAGCGATCATTTCGCCATCGCTAGCTCTATACTTCAAAATTTTTGCAAAAGTTTTTCCGAGTTTGCACACGATTTTTCACATTCTTTTAAATTGATTAGTCGCTTAAATTCCGTATGGTTCAAAGCTTCATTTCATAATTCTTGAATGATATACAAAAAAAGCAGAAGAAATATGTATAAAAAAAAGAATTAATAACGCAAGAAATTTTTCTTCGAAAAAACTGACACGCGCGCGCACTTCTGCACGAATATACAAAAATAAATTTTTTTTAATGATGCTCGTAACAGCATGGAAAAAGAGTCGTTGGCATTTCGCGTGAGTGTATTTACAATCGCAACTTATGAGTTATTTTTAATTTGTTGCGTGACTCTTTTCCAGCCTACGGTAATAGCCACTCGATGGAGACATTTTTTTGCGAATTTTCAATTTTTGAGTTCCTCGGACGATAAAAAAAAATAACAACAAAGCAGCGAGCAATTCGTTAAAAGATACCAACTACAGGCCGCGTCGTCGAAAAAAGGAAGACAGCTTGAAACGAAGAGTCAAAAAAGACAAGGAAAAAACTTCAAGCGCTGCATAAATGTGTGTGTGTGTGGAGCTTGTGTAACCCACTTGGCGCGGTGCAATCGACCTCTCGTCGCTCTTCTCATCTCTTGCGTGTATTATAAGTGTGCATTTTGTATTGTGGTGCTTTAATTTTTCTTCTCCTTTCTTCAAAATTTCAACCACTATTACAAGCTAATTATTACTTCAACACTCTTGCTTGGTATTTTTTTTAAATTTCAACTATGATTGAATTAGTATGTATATTTATTTATAAGACATCTGGACTGCCAAACTCTTAAGAGCTAGTGAAGGTGTATGTATATCATATTTACAATGAACGGATTTGTTTTTCAGTGTTTTATTACTTTCTTGTAATTTTATATATATATATGCCATAATATAATTATACATTTTTCTTTATCTAACAATTATGCATCTTAAGAGCAACGTTCGTTTGTCTATTTTTCATTAAATTTGCAAATGCTTTGGTTTAAACAATTTGACCTTTAACTCAATTTGTATTAGTTTATCGTAGACGAAAAAACTTACCTAAATATAAAGATAAAAATAAGGACAATTTTTTTCAAACTAAATTCCATAAAATCTGCTCTACTTATTTTTTCGTATTTCATTCGGCATTATACACACATAAACGCACGCAACGCACACACACTCTAACACGCACATTCAAGCAAAAATTTGTCTTTTATTATAATACTTCTATAGAAATTGCGCTATTACTTTGCTTTTAAATTTATTTATTTTTTTCGTTAATAAACATCGCTTCACAAAAATCTTTATCTACAGACATTTACAAGAAAGACAAATGATACAACACAACAAGAGTTTCCGTACACTTAATTTTTCTATTGAACCTTAATTTTTACCTTTGACACTTTACGTTTTTTCTATCTTTATTCATTAGCAAGTTAATGGAAAAAAAAGATAATAATAATAAGGTAACTATAATATGGTGACGGATTAAAAGTAATGGGAAATATTATTACGAACGGGTCACAATCCATTTTATATGCATCTCGCGCCTCGATTAATCATCGACGAGACGCGCGTGTCGTCGCCGCATTACTGAAAATAACTTACATTTGTGTACGCTACATGCATTACTACTTACAATGTGTCTCGCGCGAGGAAAGAGATAGAGAGGAGCGACGAATTCTTTGATTCTCTATTTTTTTTCTTTTCGTTGACCCCCCGAGGGTTTAAAAAAAAAGACGAAGCTCAGCTAATAGCTTTTTCACGCACGAGTTCGCAGCAACAACAGAGCAAACAAATATACCTCTCGCCTAAAAGTGGAACGACCTTTGAAAAAATTTCGCGCGACTCCGGAGACCAATATTTTGCCAATCGGTACACAACGGTAGAATCGCAAAATTGTGTATACGCGAGCGCGTTTGCATATTTTCCCTCGTCTCTGTCCCTGTCTCTCTCTCTCTCTCTCTTTCTTTTACTATAAAAGCGTGTATGTCGCTCGTGGACTTCGAAATCGAATCTAAAATAGACAAACAAACATACACACGCACACACTCACGCACACACTCGTGCACACACCGACCTAGCAACCAGACGATGACGACGGCGACGACTTCGTGCGCGTCTCTCAACTCTTCGCGCTTATATAGGAAGAAGGAAGGGAAGAAGAAGAAGAAGAAGAGAAAAAAACTCGGTCAGCGAGCCAGCTTGGAAATCCGTCGCACTTATAAAAGCTATATAGTTTCACATACTACTGTACATACGATATATATTATCACATCTCGTGGCTTTAACCCTGTGTCTTTATAACTTATATACCCATTTATATATACTCGTTGTGTGTGTGTGCGCAGGCGCGTACGAGTGCATGTGCATGCGTCTCGTGTGTACGTAAGTATGTAGGGCTAAAAATACTCACACTTGTGTGTTTTAAACACGAGACAGAGAGAGAAAGAGAGCGTCTCTCTTCTCTCGCCTACGCACCCACGACGACGACGACGACAACGACGACACACACTCGCGTACACCCGCACTCGGATCGCACTCACACACGCGCGCGCACGCAAACTTTCTGCTATTTTACGCGCGCTGCAATCGTTAATAACTATACTACTCGGCGAGACAGTAAATTCGTGCTTGAACAATAGTCACCGGCTTCTCGGATGAGCTGCTACCGTTGCTGCTCTCTTGCTGCAGCTGCTGCTGTTGCTGATGATGATGTTGCTGCTGTTGTTGTTGCTGCTGCTGCTGCTGCTGTTGCTGTTGTTGCTGATGATGATAATGTTGATACTGATACTCCCAGCTACCTTTTTCGTAATGATGATGATAGTTGTGATAGTTTTGCGATTGATGATGAAGATGATGGTGATTGCTACTGGACAGGGCCGACTGTTTGCGTTTGGACGAGCGCACAGAGGAGGATGAGGACGATGCACTGCCACTGGACGCGGAATTGTTGTTGTTGTTGTTGGTTGAGCTTGCAGCTGCCGCCGCTGCTGCGGTAGTCGACGTCGGCCAAGGTCACAAGGAATGATACTCGCCGAGCACGAGACTGGCGCTGTGATGGTAGCCCGCGTGATGATGATGATGGCCACCGGACATGGCCATGCCGCCCATGCCCTGGTGATGATAGGCGCCCATGCCCATGCCGTTCATCGACATGCCGTTCATCGCGGCCGCCGTGTGATTGGCCATGGACGACTGCATGGAGCTGGGCATCATCGAGCCCGGGCCCATCGGGCTGAGGCCGCCCATAGACGGGGCGATCGCGCCCATCTGCATCGACGTCGCCGTGTGCGGCAAGGACTTTTGCAGCTCGACGCCGCTCGCCGGTCCCAGTAGATAGTCCTATTATTGACAAAGAAGAGCAGACGCGACGGCGAGGATTAGTCGTGGAATTCTTTCGCGACAATAATATAAAGGGAGAACACGCGTTTTTTGTCAAGGTTCCTATAATACGACGACGAGACTGTGTCTTACCTGCGAGCTGTAGTACGGCATGTAGTCGATCTGGCTTTTCTGCTGGGCGCAGCTCGATTGGCTGGGCAGCGTAGCCGTCGGATGCACGAGTCCCGCGTGCAGCGCCGCCGCGGCCGCAGCTGCTCCGGCCTGCAGATGATGCTGCAGCTGATGGTGGAGATTGCGCTTGTCGTCGGCGCCGTTGCTGTCGTTGCTCGTGTGGTCGTGGTGCTGATGCTGCTGCTGCTGCTGTTGCTGGGCGTACGACGACGACGTCTGTTGCTGATGATACGAGTGCGGCGAGTGCGACGAGGACAGCTGCGAGCTCGGCAACTGGTACATGCTGCTCGTCACTGGACTCTGTTGGTGTTGCTGCTGCTGCTGCTGCTGCTGCTGTTGCTGTTGTTGCTGCTGATGGTGATCCACCAGGTGCTGCTGCTGACCACTGCTCGGTGGGCCTGCTTGGGGACCGCCGCAGGACGACAGTTGACTGACCGATTGGCGCTTGGTCTCCTCGCCGCTCTCGTAGCTCGAGTCGCCCGGGTCGCCGCTGTGAGATTTGTCGCCCTTTTGACTGCTGCAACAAAAGAGCGATTGGCCATTTTTATCATTCGTGCGCATGATACCTTTTTGGATTTTCGCAATACTTATATATTGCATGCACATACGATAATGCATAAAATAATGATAATAATTGCTCCGGGACGAGTCGATTTCACGCGAGACACGGTTAATTTTTCGTTCTTCTCGTTGGCCCGTCGTCTTCTCTCTCTCTCTCTCTCTCTCTCTCTCTCTCTCTCTCTCTCTCTCTCTGTCTTTCGTGAGGCTTAAAAAGCAATAAAGGCTCTTTAAACTCGGCAGTATATCAGGCGCAGTCGACTTTTTCGTCACTTTAAAGGATTAATAGATCGTCCATTTAAGTATTTACGAAGGATTATACGACGGCGCGCAGTATCTCCGACTAATTGATTTTTAAAATATATATATTATAATAATGTACTCGAGTGTGTCATGTGTGTGTGTGTGTGCGACTCATTCCCATCTCGTCAAAACCTTAATACTCATCCGCGCGTGAACGTTGAACGACACTTGGACGATCGTCATCGTATGTACGAGAAAGAGAGAGAAAAAAATCAGTGGAGACGGAGAAAAAAGCTGTAAAATTCGTCGAATCGCACCTCTCTCTCTCTCGCTGCAATATGTGCATATATATATAGATCGTCGCTCGCGATCATCGCGATGTAACCGCGCGTATTTATGCCATTTCGTCAGTACCTTTATACATTATATACACACACATACACTTGTGCACGGGCGCGCGATAATTATAACTCGGCGTGGCGATGGATTCGTCGTCGTTGCCGATCGCGGGGCCTCCCGTGTCGCCGTTACCGTGTGTGCGCGTTTAAATAAATATATTATTATTGTATAAATCTTCGAGTTTATTAGCTGCTGCTTCTGCTGCTGCGCGATTTCTTCTCCTTCTCCGGTACTTGCACGTTGCCTTTTTCTCTGTCTCTCTCTCTTTTTTTTTATCGCTTCCGAAATGATCGCGAGGGATTTCCAGATTTGGTAATTTAATACCCGCGCGTTGGGTATACGTGTGCACCGTGCATTGCGTCTCTCGCTGTATTATATTATATACGCAGGCGAGGTGAGGTCAGCGAAAAATGACTATCGACAAACGATTTGTCGTTACACACGATGATCGGCTTGTAAGACAAGTCGTTTAGACGAATGATAATGTGACTGACTATTGCATAACTGGTCCTCTCGATTTCCGACTCGAAAAGATCCGAGCATACGTGTTATGCTGCGATGATGAAAAAAAAGAACTGCTTCTGGTCCATTGGTTTTCGTGCTCGCTTGAAGCGCGTCAAAGAAGGCGCATTGATAAAGAAGTCGTTTTATTCGTGAAAATGAATTTAAACGCGCCGAGCGACGTTGTGTATAAGGTACACAAGTCTATTGTGTCCGGCCCCGAAGCTTTATAAACGACGCACATACACATATACAAAACAAGCGAAGCAAGATGAACACGAAGATAAAAAGGAACCCCCACACGCCAGCGCGCACGACATTATGCAAAAGCGTTTAAAACGTCGCGTAGCACCTTTGGATATTATACGCGGGCGAGCTTGGAAAAGCCTTTTTATTTTTCCCCATTGACTATAAATCCCAATGGGCTTTTATAAGACCCGAGAGAGAGAGAGAGAGAGAGAGAGAGAGAGAGAGAGAGAGAGAGAGAGAGAGAGAGAAAACAACGTCACGGGGGAAAAAAATCGGGCGCCCCCTACGCTCACGATTTTACCTTCGAGAGAGAGAGAGTGAGTGAGCCGAGGCGTTACCTCGAGTCGACGCGCGCAAAGAGTTATTTCCGAGAGACACAACGTCGCGCACACGAGGCCTTGTTTATTGTCCTATATATAAGGCAGGCGAACGCGTGTGCAGTTTGGCTGCACGAAAAAATCCATCTACACAATTCCAATTATCATCGATGCAGCTGCAGAACATATGTAGACATCGAGCACTGGATAGAAAATGAATCCATGTATGTTAAAACTCGTTAAATCAGAGCGATGAAACGTCCCTCGTCGTCGTAGTCGTAGTCGGTCGTCATCGCAGATCGCAAGAAAACTGGTCTAAGGCCCATTTGATTAACATAATTCCTAATTTAATTTCTTCGATAAATTCAGCGTGCTCGTGCTGCTCCGTGCGATCATTATCTCTCTCTCTCTCTCTCTCTCTCTCTCTCTCTTTCAAGAGCACACACTTGCTCGCATGAGTGTAGAACCTGTGCAACAGCAGCAGCATCGTCGATTCCACTAATTTTTGCGCGCGTCTAACTTTATCGTCCCCAGATAAGCATCTAGTAATTTTTTCTCCTCGTATAATAAAAATATTCCTCCCCAGTTCCTTTTCTTTGCACCGTCGCGCGCAGTCGTCCACCTTTTCGATTTTTTTTCTTTTCTTTAATTCGTTTCGATCGTTGTTGTTAAAATATTTGTACATTTATACACGCTGACGCGTCGCGCGCATGCAAACGCACGCGTGGTATCGTCAATTGCGAAATAAGTGCGTAACTTTTGTCACTAATTGGTGTATATATCGCGTGTCCGAGAGAGGGCTCCTTTTCTTTCCTTTTTTTTTCTTCTTCTTTACGCACAATAATTTACGATCGATTTGTCGCTTTTATATGCACGCGCGCGAATATCGTACGCGTGTGTACCGAGCGATGAACAGCGATCTCCTCGTCGCGGCTGCTGCTGCTGCTGCTGCTACGTGAATTATCCTCGATATAATACGTGTATACGTAGTACACACGCTGCAAGCACATGTGTGAGCCGCGATATGAGCAACCGATAAGGAGTTCGCTAACAGTTAATGCACTTTTATTCATTTAATTATTTTTTTCTTTTGCCTCCGTGCGAGATCGTATTTTTCAATTTTTTTTTCGCCGCAAAATACGCGACAATGGTAGTAGCGGTGGTAGGCCTTTGCACTTTGCGTGAAATTTGAACATTTGTTTGGGTATATTTTTCTTGGCGAGTGTCCTTTGTATATACAGCCAAAAAAACTGATTCATCGCGCACACTTGATAAATTGAGGCGGAGATTTCAGGAAAAATTGTCGTCGTTTGAGTCCATTTCGTCGTCGCAGCGAGATCGCGCGTGCGCGCGTGTGCAAAATCGTCTACGTCATATTATCTATCGCGCGACATCACGCGTTCGCACATATTTTTATATCAAAATGAGATAAATAAATAAATAAAAAAAATAAAAAAACCGAAAGAAAAAAAGATAGACACCAACTGCTGTCAATTATACGGATTACATCCGGCGTTGACCTATCGGAGGTCTTTAGGTGGTGCGTATAGATCGAGGCTCGAGCGAGCGAGAAGCTAACAGCTAAGAAAAAAAAGACGCAAAAAATCGTACGAGAGGAACGAAGAATATATACATATGTGTGTGTACGCGCAAAGGTGATAAATTTGACCAAGACACACATGCATCGAGTCAGTGCTACAATCGTTTCTCACCATCAAAGCCCATGTAACGTGAATTCCTCTTTATCTTCCTCTTTTCCTCTCTCTCTCCTTTTTCACCTCTCTCTCTCTCTCTATCTCTCTCGTTCAGCAGTTTCATTTCATCAATGTTAAAATAGAAATTATACTCAGGCATTTGTGAGAGGGTACAAAAAAAAGAGGCAAAACAAGTTGCATCGCGCGTTCGACGCGTTTACAGAATCGATCTGGGTCTCTCTCTCTCTCTCTCGCTCTGAAAGAGCTTCGCGTAATATACGCAAACATCGAAAAAAAGTGCCTACCAACGAGCTCTCTGAGGAATCGTAATAAATAATAATTTGCACTTGCCGTACACATGTGGCGCACGGGGCAACAAGCAGGCTCGAGAGACGAGCGCGCGTGAATCCTAATCAAATAAATGTTAATATACGCGCGATCCCATATAAAGACCGGAGAAAACACCGTATTTTAACACGGGGGCCTGTGTGTTACTGCTGCTGCTGCAGCAATACGCCTCGCTCGTCTTTGGGTGTATGTGTGCGTGCGTGTGCGTGTGTGCTTGCGGCGAAATTTACGACTCGATCGGGAGCCAGAGATAAGGACACTCACATACGTGTATGCGTGAGACACCTCTTTCGCGGTTTATAGGCCTACTGGCTGGCTGGCTTGGCAGCGGGTGGCCGATTCCTGCCCCCCCCCCCTTTCCTCCTTGGTTCTCTTCCTCATTCACTCTTTTTTCCATATAGCACACGCATCTGTCTCATCGACTCTCGACGACGACGAGGAGAGTACATAGACAGGCAGAAAAAAGAGCGAGACAGCGAGAAAATGTATATACACAGGTATAAAGCGGAGAAAAAAAAGAAGATGCGTATATTTTTGGGAATAAGATGATGACGCTGATGGCAAAAGATAAGCTCGCAGTGTGCGCGTGTGTGTGCAGTCGTTCGTTATGTTACTCTTATTATTATTATTATAATTTGCGTTTGTTCATTTCGGTATATTTTATAATAATGATTATCATAACGCCCGGTACGTCTCTCTCTCTCTCTCTCTCTCTCTCTCTCTTTTCGCTGACGAGGATGCCAATTCGCAAATACGGACGATAATAACGCGTGCGAGCCTATAAAAGTCGCTCGCAGTATAAGATCATTCATTATTCGCTTATACGTGCGTGTCGTATACAAGCACACTATGCACACAGTGCGCGTATATAGGCATGTATGACAATAAACACGAGAGGAGCACGAGCGGCGATATTTATAAAGTCCCGAGAATTTGCACTCGACGATGCATCGAAGCCAATAAAGCATCCCTCGCTACATTTCGCATCGCTGCAATAGACTAAGACGATGACTCGCTGCAGCAGTGGTGCATCTTCTCTCTCATCGTTACCACACACATAGACTTTACCAACGAATAATTATTATTGCTCGCGCGGACGCGGGCGACACAATAGAGCGCGAACTCGCTCTTTACTATATACTATATATGACACGCGTCGCGAGTAGCCAGGAATTTCGGGGGCGTAAACGGGATTTATCGCGCGCGCGCGTGGCTCGCTCACTCGTACTGCACTCGCTCGCACGAGAATCGTTGCCAAGTAGCGTTCGATGCGCGCTATATAATAACTGCGCGTGATGTACGCTTGTCGGCGTTTATTATACCGACTACCACTAGAGTTTCATACAGCTACTTTCATCGATACTCGGCGACATTGTTTTCCATTATTTATAGCGGCCACGAGCCTGGGCGCGCGCGCACACACACACACTGTCGTCGAATAATTTTGCGCCGCGTTTATTATTAAAAGCATGCAGAGGGCTCGCGCCTCCGCCGCCGCGACTACTATAATATGACGTCGCTGCTAGTTTGTCGCGAGAGGAGATAGAGAAAGCCCCCGCGCGGCCGCGCGCCTCTTTGAAATATTATAATGTAACATTGAAAACTTGCGCGAGAACATCAAACGACACGATGACTGCATTACGAGCCTAGTAGAGCCCCTCTTATTATATGTACCGAGAGAGCGAAAGAGAAAGAGAGAGCCGAGAAAAAGACGGAGAACAAAAGTCCGAAAGTGAATTATTAAGACTCGCCGCAATGCACACAATTAGTCAGACTAGTGCAAAGTCGACGCGCTAACTCTCCTCTCTCTTGTATACAGCAGCGGCGTCCCGATCTTCTTTCTCGATATTTTCGCCTTTAAGTCGCTGCGCTGCTGCACTGGGTGGCTTTATTAATGGCTCGTAACGGCGTGGACTCGCGCGCCCGCTACGTTATAAGTCTATTCTTTGCATTATTAATCACTTATATCGTATACGCTTGTGTGCGTGAGATTTGCCCCACGCAAGCTATACGCGCAACGCATACATCATTATGTTTTTGCGATAAACATGCCACACGCACACACAGGTGCAGAAAGAGAAATGTCTATTGTCGCCGCGTTGCGCTACTGCTGCTGCTGCTGCGCGGGTGGCTCTGATGTGGCTCTGCGGCCAAATCGCGGACGCTCGCTATTATTGGAGAGAGGTATCGAAAACCTTGGAAATTGAATTCGGCCGAAGAATTTCTGCCGTAAGGTCTTCCCCCTTTACGTGCGCACGACGCAGCAGCTCCGATAGCAGCTGACGATGTGATGCGCGTGTGTATACACCACTTTAGGTACAAGTACAGTACAGCTGATTCTACATATTTTATGATTCGTCGTCCGGGGCCTAGAAAGTCGCAGCTCAATATTTGAAATTATTAATGGCTTGTTTCGTGACACAATGTGTGTGTGTATATGTTTGATCGATCGGGGGCTGCTGCTGTTGCGACTGCGTAACTCGGCTGCACGCGTATATTTAAAATCACTTCAGTTTGACTTTTATTATACTCGAATCTGCAAGATGTGTAAAGCGGAGCATCATGAGTAAATCGATGACAGTTGCCAGTGCCGCAAAAGTTTTTCTCTCTCCATCTCGCTCTTTTGTCAATCAACGCGTTCGTGGTCCGCTGCGCGCGTGCATCGCATCCCGCATCATCGATTTAAATTTCGCCGAAATTTCGAAAAGCAGAAAATCACCTCTCTCTCTCTCTTTCTCTCGTTCGGCAGCCAGTGTTAAGCGTCACTCGCGGGACGAATAATTAACCGGCCGTGACTGACAGCCCTGTTTCAGCAAGTGCGCGCGTCTGCCCGTCTTTTTAAGATACATATCCGCGTAATGGTAATCCGTCTAGATGTTTATTTTTATATAACGAGAGAACGAATTGTTATTCGACCAATTTCTATATACGTAGCCTATTGCGTAGCTCGCCAAGTATGCGAGAAAATCACTTGTCAACGTTGTATGATAATTTGTTGAAAAGAAGAAAAAACGGCTTTTGATTTCAAGATATATTATTCGTATTGGTCACATTAAAATCTTAATCTGTCATCGTTTCGCCTGAAATCTATTAAATCGTACGCGAGATCGTCATAATATTTGACATTGTCAAGACTGCTCTTCTCTCTCTCTCTCTCTTTCTCTCGCACCTTCACGAAATGTATAATGTATTATTAATGTATTATAATGGGCATAAATACGGGACGAAAAGAGTCAGGCTCTTAAAAGACACTTGCCAAACGCCTTGTGTATTAATCCTCTCGGATCGAGAGAACCTCCTTGTACGTTGCCACCCTAAATCTATCCAGGCCATCACGGAATTGACGTGGGATTAAGCAGACTTGGAAGCGCCACTTTATAATATACAGACACATTTCTACTCGCATACAGCAGTAACGTCTTCAGCAGCTCGTGTCTTCCGATCGCTCGGGTATTTGTATGTATGTTTTGTCTGGCATTATAAAAAGGTAGAATCGCATCTATATCCCAATGGCAAAACGTCGAATGATTATGTATTTCACGAATCCATAGATACACGACTTTTGGTTGTCGGGGGAAGCGCAGCACAAGACTCGTTAACGAAGACGAGTGGACGTACAATAATCGTTATCATGATTGTTATAACTCGCGCGGACCGCTACTCATTGACTTAGAGGATGGATGTGTGCATGTGCTGTTGCTGCATATATGCAGCGCTTAAAACGCTTTCGGTGTTTTTTCGGACTTGCTTCTGAGCCGGATTACCTGAAGAGAAGCTGGTTTTTCGGTAGTACCTAAGAACATCAGAAACTCGCTGCTCCTTAACTCTTCTTTTTTTTATTATTATTATTTACTTCTCTTTTCTTTTTCTTATTATTTTTTTTTGTTCCACGCTCGAAATAAGTTGGTTATAAAGAGGATGTAGAGGATTTGAAAGGAAATGGTTTTGCGCGCGCGAAGAGTGAGAGCACAAGCCCTTCTCGCAAGCACACACATGCGAGCGATTAAAGACGGAAGAGATAACGCTTAAACGACTTGGATTATCGCGCTGCGAAGGTATATTAAAGGAGCTCGGAGATTATCACAGCTCACGGATAATTGACTTTTCAGGCGTGAAAAGCTTCGTCGGAGGATCGAGACACTTTTTTTTTGTTTTGCTCGTCTTCCGATTGTCGTGAAAATTCATTAGTTTTATGCTTCGGAACAGCGACGTAGTTCGTGTTCGTTACGTATGTAGACACCTAATTAGCAGTGTATAACGATTTCAAATTTAGTTTAGCGCGGTTTATGAGTCAATTACTACTTTCTATGTTTACGTTGTGTACGCGCGCTACGAAATTGACTCGTTCAAGTCGGCGTAAGATTTTGAGATTATCGAGTCGCTCTTTGATTTCTCTCTGAGGTAACAGCAAATTTTATAGGTTGATCGAACTCTTGTGCGTTTAATTTTTCTGACGCTTCTTAATACAGTTTTCAATTGAATCAATAATTAGAAAAGGTAAGTCGACTCAGTTTATTACATCAACGACCATATTCTATTTATTGTGAAAGCGTGAAAATCCTCATGATTTTCATAGAGTCATAAAAGTACTGAAGTAGTTATAATGAAATATTTTGAATACATGTTCATCAACATTATTTGCAGAAAACCATTATGGATAATAAAAGGTCAAATGATGATGTGGAACCAACCAATGTGGATTCTACGGTGACTGAATCACCAGTACTAAAGAGAGCCAGAAATTACCCGGATAACATCGCGCTCGTGGTAGGTGGATCAGTAGTATTATCACAAAAACTAGATTACAACCAAAAGGAACAAAAGATATTAGATCCAACCAATGTTTATTCCCTGGAAACTGAACCAAAAGTAGATGCACCAAAGATATTAGATCCAACCAACGTATACTCCATGGAAACTGAATCAAAAGTAGATGGACGAAAGATATTAGATCCAACCAATGTGTATTCCCTGGAAACTGAACCAAAAGTAGATGCACGAAAGATATTAGATCCAACCAATGTCTATTCCATGGAAACTGAACCAAAAGTAGATGCACCAAAGATATTAGATCCAACCAAAGTATACTCCATGGAAACTGAATCAAAAGTAGATGGACGAAAGATATTAGATCCAACCAATGTCTATTCCATGGTAAGTGAACCAAAAGTAGATGCACGAAAAATATTAGATCCAACCAACGTATACTCCCTGGAAACTGAACCAAAAGTAGATGCACCAAAGATATTAGATTCAACCAATGTTTATTCCCTGGAAATTGAACCAAAAGTAGATGCACCAAAGATATTAGATCCAACCGATGTCTATTCCATGGAAAGTGAATCAAAAGATAATCTCGATGATTCTGTAAAAACTGATCAATTCTTGTCTCCAAGCACGAGACAAACCCATTTAACACCAAAATCAAGAGCCGATCTCAATAGTCCTGACAATGATTATATCTTATCTCCAAACTCAAGTCGAGCCCATCTCACTCCTACAAGAAAAACTAGGCACTTTAAAAAACATTCACATCACGCATCTTTAGAATCGCTTGCAAGTCCAAACGATTCTAAAAATATTCAATGACAAATGAAATTTGGTAACGTTAGTAAGCAAGACAATTGATTGAATTCAACTACAATTCTTTCAATATAAATTTAATCTTTGATTTAGTGACAATTATTCTAAATATATTAAGTTGAAAATATAGTAAGAATCTTTTATAATCCATAAAATAATCTAATAATTCATACATTTATTCTTTCGCAAAATTCAAAAGCTTATAAAATACTAAATATTGCTAGCTAAAGGAGATTTTTAATATGACACAATACTTATTATAGAATTCAATAGCTTTTTTCACCTGTTTTTTGTACCATCGATATCATGTAGTATTTTGTGGATTAATAAATCCAAATTACCCTCACATAAAATATTGTCAATTGCAATTGAAATTTGTAAAAAAAAATGAGGAAATGATTAAAACAAGATAACAATTTTTTTTAAACGTATTATAACCTAACAATTGTATCGCAGTAACGCTCACTTTAAAAAAAATTTTATTATTTTGTACAAGAAATATTTGACCAATGGTAAAAATGTAAATTGATGCAGAAGTATCAGTATACTTATTTGCTAAAATGTAAGACGCGTACATAAAAATAAAAACAATTTCATTCTGTGCACATCGAGTTGAACGAATCTTCCTCTATAAATAAAGTATAATGAACTTTATTCTCTTCCTTAAACCCACAGGACCCGCGCGTCGATACATCTGTACAAAATCTCGCGTCGATCGGCTAAATGGACATCCGATTAATATTGGAAAGGGGATTTTGCGAGCGCCTAGAAAATCATTCATGCATTGTATATATGTGGCACGGCACGACGCATCGTGCCGATAAGGAGACGAACGCACGAGACGAGCTGAGAACGGACTGAAGGGCAGAGAGAGAGAGAGAGAGAGAGAGAGAGAGAGAGGAAAAAAAGAAAGTCAAAAGCCACCCACGGTGGTGTCGATCGAAACGAGACGCGGAATCCTTTCTCGCTCGTCGCGTCGCGCGCGGCTTTCTTCTTTCCGTCTTCTTATTTGCGCTCATGCACGCGCAGGAGAGTCAAGTGCAGCTCGAGGAAAACTTTGAAGGATGTTAAAAATATTTTCATGTGTTTTTTGGGGTCTCGCGCGCGCACAAGATAACCCGTTTATATATTACATTATACGCGCTACACGGAATCGGAGCGCATTATACAAAGAGATTCTCGCGCGTACGCGTACCGCGCGTTACTTTTCATTGAGTTCTACGAGTTAGCGGGCGGAGATTTGCGGCAAAAAAGCAAAAAACCTTTTAAAAATAATAACAACACTAGTACGCGCGAGGGCGGTTACAGAAGCACTCGCACATATAGATGCACACAGTATTTTGCATGAAAAAAAAGATGATCGCGCTGCTGCTCTCTGGACGCGCTCACGTCTACGTCGTCATAGCGCGATATACATACAGGTATATATATGTTGCACACACAACTCGGCCGGTCGTTCGGTGGTTGTAATACGACACCCATATATGCACACATACGTATAAACGGAGCGCACAGATACACATACACGCACATGAAGATTCGCATCCATCCGTCGTACACACAAGCCTCGTTACGGTTGGCGCGCGTGTTATGGCGGCAGAAAAAAAGACAGAGAGAGCGAGAGAGAGAGATACAGACGTCATGTTGTTGCTCCCGGTTGATTATGTCGCGTTACATATATGCGCGCACGCAGTGTATTGCAAAGTCTCGGCTTAATAAAAAATATTGCCTAATATCACGCCCGATTTATCCTATCTAATGTCGTCGTCGTCGTGTACTTGTCGTCGTGCGTACGAGCTTGTACACCCGATACCAGCGGCACACGATTATAATGAGGAAGAACCCCGGGACCGTCGCACCGGCTTCCAGACGAAAGAAAAGAAGAAAAGAAGAAAAAAAAGAATAAATAAATCAAGAAGGAGGGCGAGAAGAAATTACCGAGCCAGACACTGCGCTGTATACGAGTCACACTCGGACGCGGAGTCTGGAAACGGCTAATTGACACTGATATTAATTCTTCTCTCTCTCTCTCTCACGTTGTAGTGCTCCCGCCGCTTGTGTCGTCGACATAATAATATTATGCAACGGCGTGTCCTCCCTCGACGTATACATAATACCAACACAACGGGCGCGCACGCCACAAGAAAGATTGTGTCTCGTGCTCGGTCTATCTATTTAAAACAAATGTGAGAAGGCCTTTACTCTACTCCACTCCGCGCGAGGAGAGAATCAGTCTGCGAAAACAATCAAAGCCGCTGCTGCTGCTGCGCGTCGCGGTCATTATCATTATTTCTCCGCGAGCGCGAGAGGAAAATTATATTATTGTCTCGGCTAGCTAGCGAGCTGTCTAGTTTTCTTGGCCGCCCGCTCGCGCGACGCGTTTTATAATAAAGCCGCGCACGCACAATGGATGATTTTGTTCGCGGAATAAGAGGGTTGCGTCGCTGATGCTGCGGCGGTGACTTTATTTAAGCCGCCGCTTGAGTTATGACGAGAATTGCGCGTTTCGGTACTCTGTGCGCGTATAGATTTATCGACGCTCATTGTAGCACACGATGTACCCGAACTGTGACGGTTATGGATTATTTGGCCAACGGTATACACACTTGTAATAAACTGCAGCCAAGCTCGGCTGAATTTCAACGAGCCAATTTACTGGGTGTCTCTGTAGCTCGTTTGCTGCGCGCGGGGCTACGCCGAAGCATTAATATATTATATTATGTACGTACGTTTTGGCGAATCTATAAATCCTAAACAAAAGCTTGCATCGGGCGCGCCGTTGTCGCACAGCATACAGAAAGCGGAGCGGAGCACGAGCACGAGCAAACAAAAAAATAGCAACGCTCGAGCTAGGCGAGAATCTCATTCGCCGCATAAAAAGCGTGAGCAGCAGAGAGAGAGCAGCAGCAGCAACGGCAGCAGCGCAAAATACAAAACGAGTAGGGGGTTAGACGGGCGTTCCGAGAATGTGCGCATGAATGAAAGGGACCCTCACATACCCCCCACCTCATCACCTCGTCATCCAGTGGCTCTCTGTGCTCGTCGTACGCGTGTATGTGTGTATGTGTGTATGCAGAAAGTATATGCACGAGAAGACCACAACACGTACACACACATATGAACGTAAGAGAATGGCAACGATTGTACTGCTGCTGCTATATACACGCGAGAGACCGCGCGGGCTACTGGCAAAAGAGGGAAATGTATATAAGCATGTGAGCGAGAGAGCGAGCGAGCTGGTGCTGCTCCGCGGCATCGTTGCGCATACAGCAGCCTGTCAAAATTTTGACAGCGAGCCGCTTCGCTTCCTTTTTTGCTGCCCTACTACTGCTGCTGCTACTGCTGTTACCACTGCGGCGTCGAGAAGGCCGAAATTCCCAAAGCGAAGAAAAACATCCAAGTATTACGCGTAAACGCGAAGCAGATTCTCTTAATTTGGATGTATATTTATTTTGGCGAAAAAGTACTGCACTCGCAGTAACAGCAGCAGCTGAAACCGAAAGAGAAGAGTTCGAGAGGTCAGTGCGCCGCGCCGCGAAGATCGTAACGATTTTATTTTAGGTTCTTGTCTTGCTTTTTTCGCGCATTACGTATAAATTCGCGGGAGACACGCTGCGAGAAGGAGGGAGAAAGAGAGAGAAATTAAAGTTTACGTAACGACTTTTTAATGTGCACATATATATTTGTCCGTAAGCGTTTTCAGTTGATTTGTATATAAACCGTCGTATCCATCGTGTATCAGGACGCAAGATTTTCATTGATAAGGACCACACTCGAACGATAGCCTATAGACGAACTTTTCTTGATATTCTTTCGTGAACGTGCCTTGAATTCACGCGAGAAAGAAGCGATTTAGACTTTCTTTTTTGCAAAATGAAAAAGAAGAAGATAGAAACGATCGATTTGAACTCTTTCGCCTCTTTCAAGCACACACATTCGTACAAGACCCAATACATACATACTCGAGAGTTATCGAACGCCAGGTATCGAGCTGTATAACGTCCTACGACTCGCGGCAGCAGCAGCAGCAGCGACGGTGGCAAAGTTTCGTAAGCACCACCCTTCGCTGCTCTTGCCCCTGTGCGCGTCAATATTGGCCCAGCCGCCGCCGACACCGCCATCGGCTGATGTACACACACACACACACAAACACGAGCAATATACGCGCGAGGCTCGGCAGCTCATCATCCCTCCCCGATTCGAGAGAGCAGCGGCAGCAGCGGCGCAGGATAATGTCAACCCCCTCTATACACGGTTTTCGCCCCCGGATCGAGCGAACGCGTGCAGCAGCAACAGCCACCCCTCCATTATATTAGCTTCCGCTTGTTTACGCCCATTTTATCTATGAAATCAGCTGCTGCTGCTGCTGCTGTTGCTGAGCATTGCTTATAAAGCGACTGGTTTTTTGTGAAAAAACATATTTTTCTACGTTGGCTATAAGAAGAATCTCACAAATATTTGTTTGTCATTTATCGAGGCTCTATACAATGTACGAATGTGGAAAATTTGTTGTTGTTGTTTTTGTGTCTCCGAATCGAGGCATTATTCATCAGCTTGGTTTTTCATTTTAAATTAAATTCTCGTTCAACGTATTATAATAATATTATTCTCGGATCGTGATAAACTCGCGAGCACGGGGGTAAACTGCCTTATTTTGCGCAACAATAAGAACAATAGTAATTATAATTAATTAACTATACATAATACGCGCGAGGCGCGCATTCAAAAAGTCCACACACGTATACACACGTATAGCTGCAGCACGTGCTGCATTATATATCACATTACTCATGCTCGTGAATTTGTTATCGAATATCTCAAACTCTAAATATATTGCATATACGCGATATATTACTCTACATGTACGCGTGTACGCGCGGGTACGCAGCGGTGTAAGTCTAATTACAAACGCATATAATGTAACGTAAAGTTGAGCATTTTGAGGTACACGTACGGTTACGTATTAACTAAAGTGCAAGTCAAGATATAACTATCTGTACTCGCTGTATAACTATTACGAGCATTTACATTGTAACAATCTTATTTATGCTCTTCGTATAAGCGCGAGCTTGCAAAACAATGCAGAAACTCGCTCACGCGTGCAGTTTCGTATCGTACTGTATTATATATGCGCCGCTCACAAAGCTCCATAAACTAAATCACCAAAACAATCGAGCCAGAGTGAATTCCAAGCGCGGCGTTTATTAAGTCATCTTCGTTCTCGGAACTTATAATAATGTGTATACGGAGCTCTCGAGCTTTGCGTTCCTACGTTGCGATAAGAAAAGAAGAAAATGCCGATCGTCGTAGTCGTCGTCGTCGGCGAGCTTGACGAAATAAAAAAAAGAGCTTATGCGCGCGGCGCTGCTGATACGATTGCCGATTCGCATAAACAGTTTCGAGAGCTGCTGCTGCTGCCGCTTATCGCCTTATTATTTCTAAATAAAATAAGCGCGCCGAGCGAAAGGATGTTTTGGAGCGATCGAGTTTTTACAGCTTCGTTTCGATCGACGCGTGCCTGCCTGTACTTGAGATTATCGAGCGTTGAGTCTATATAGGAGTGTAGTTTTTCAAAAAGCGTGACGCACACACGCGTATGTATACGGAGGCAGGACGCCCCCGAAAAAAAAGTAGTAGTAGCCGATCGCCACTGTGTACATATACTCAAGGCAAGAGCCGAGTCCGCCTGGATATATAGAACGCTATTTAGCTATCCGAGGTACATTAGCTCCGTGTTTAGTTTGAAGAAGACACGCACACACGCGTATATGTCGAAATGTATATAAGAAGAGGGCGAGAAGCCATTACGAGGGAGAGAGCTTTTGTCCCCTTTTCGGAACCCTCTCTTCTCTTTTACTCATCGATATAGTAGCACTGACGCCGAAACAAGCAAAGAGAGGATAATGGACTCGAACTAATGGGGTAAGATATATAGAGTAGGAGAACGAGAGAGAGCTAAGAAGCAAACGGGAATTAATTCGATATAATATTCCTTTGTTTTTGTCGCGTGCGTAATAAACCAACTCTAACTTCCAGCGAAATCCAAGTGTTGGCTTACACACACGCGACTATGTTTAATATTTTAAAATACCTATTCTAAACGAGCGATAAGATTTTTATATAGAAACTTATATACAGAGTACGGTTAGCAGCGAGTGGCTGTGAGTGTGTGTTTTGATCTTGCGGGTATGAGTTTTTTTATGCCTTTATCATAATGTAAATACATAATAATGTCATAAGCGCAGTGGTTGCAAAGATAAATAGAAGGCGAGGAAGAAATCGACCGAGTCGACTGTAAAAAAATGATGATGACAATTTTGCACGCATTGTGACAATGCGATTCTCGCGCCAACACGTGACGCGCGCGTTTTTGCGGATAAGCTCGTTTGGTTTTTGCCTAGATTACGAAGTCATAATTTTGACGTATGTCGAGTACACGTGAGTAGTGCGTACGTGCAATTACTTACACAGAGATGCAAAGGAAGTCGAAGCGTTTCGAATGAAATCTTGTGAAGCGTTCCTCCGGGGATATCCTCGCGCGCCAGTCCGAGCAGCACGCGGCAGAAAAACGCCCACCTCGCCGTTCGGCAAAGACGCCCCTGAGTTCACGGACGCGATCGAAGCTCCCCTGGGACTCGCGATATATACACGTATAGAGAGCGTTTGCTATTTTGCATATATAGATCCCGAAAAGCCTAGAGCTCGAAGAAAGCAGCGAGCTCGCGCTTGCAGCCGCGCGATAACGAGCCAAGTTTTTTTTTTTTACCATACTACCTAGTTTGGTTTTTTTATTCTTATTTTGCCGTTGTTTTTTGTTTCAGGCTGAAAACGAAGAAAAAATTTTGCGTCACCGCATACACGCAGCAGAACACGACGACGGCGCACGATTCGAGGTAAGAACTCGCTTTTATGCATTATAACGTTGTGTGCGCATGGGGGGGTCGCTCGGGCTCGTCCTGACGCGCGGACGGACTGCTGCCTGGCACCGCAACTCCTGATGCAAGCCCCGTGTCTATGGGAACAAACATACACACTCACAAACACTCACACGCAGTTACAGAAGCCATAAGGTAATTCGATATTCGTATACGTATACGTGGGTTATGTGCGAGTGTGTGTTTTTGTGTGAGTGTATACTCACACGTGCGTCGCGCGCGCGGACCTTATTGCAAAAGTCGCGGTGGTGCTTCCCACTTCCTCTCTGGCGAACATGCTTTATACGCGCACACGGACTTATATATTTTGCCGAGAATAAGTTCACTCCTGTCCACGCGATGATCGTAGGGATGACGACGCGCGTCCCCGATATCGGGCTTTTTTTTGGTGTTATAATTTTAACGAAAAAAAACGAAAAGCAGAAGAATATCGTTTCGAGAGAGGGAAGAAGAAACATATAGCAGAGATGCAGCAAACTAAAATGGGATTTGGAGCAACGACCTTCCTCGACAACACACTGCGCGATCTCAAATGTGCTATATATTATACACAACGAACGATGTTGTATCTTGCTATCCGGCAGTGGATGAAATAAAATTAAAAAAATCTCTACGGAAACGACGCTTTTTCAGCACCTAATTGCATACGACGCGTATACAAATCGCAGCGACACAATCATATAATATTTTAGTGCATCCGTTGCGGCACAAAACTCGTGTAAAAAAGCTCGAGCGAAATTTTCACCCCTCTAGAAGTGAAAAACTCGGTTTTGTCGCGATACGAGCTTTCGACCATATATACTTCGAGTAATTCTAAATACTTTCCCGATAGTTGGCTCGGTGCTACTCTTATACGACCATAAACCGGCGAGTCGCAGAACGATCAAGCTCGCGCTGCGCTAAAGAGCTCTTGTAAACTATAATACGTACGTGCGCACGCACGCGAACGTACACAATCGATTTCGCGTAATTTGCATGATTGAGCGCGCGCGTACAGAGAGAGAGACACGCAAGAGAGAAAAAAAACTGCGTGCACACCTATGTACTGCAGTGCTGCAGTGCTTGAAAGAGAGAGAGCTCGTAAACCGTTCATTGATCCGCTTGCCATTTATCATACATATGTCCGCTTACATCGGAAACAATCACAAATACATATGACAGAGAGGGGGACTATTGCGTCAATTAAAAGAGGCAAGTCGTATCATTCACGAAACATAAAAAAAAAAAATAAACAACAACGACGACAATAGTTGAAAATAAAGCACTGCACTCACCTCTGCTCGGAGGCACGGTCGCGCTGCCTGCGATTCTTGAACCAGTTGCTGACCTGGGTCGTCGTCAGACCCGTGTTCTCGGCCAGCTCCTGCTTCTCCTTCGGCGACGGATAGGGATTCGTCTCGTACCACTTCCTCAGCACGAGGCGCGACTTCTCCTTGAAACAGTAGGACGTCTCCTCGCCGTCCCATATCGTGCGGGGCAGCGGAAATTTGCGCCTCACCCGGTATTTGCCTGCGTCAGAGCACACAACAATTTTCAAAATTCATTTCTCTTTTCATCGACAGCGCAGTAATGAATATTTCGTAATTGTATAAAAGAAGGTAACTGACCGACGGCGCCGAGCGCCCTGCCGCGTATCCTCTCGGCCTCGGTGTAGTGCGCCCTGAGCCAGAGATGCTGCAGCTTGTTGTGATTGTACGGGCTGAAGGTGTTGTTCTCGAGTATGTTGTAGAGGTCCTTGTAACGGGCCTGATGAAAGGCCACGAAGGCCTGGGCCTTGAGCACGCTCTCGTTCTTCTGCAGCTTCGGGCAGTCGGGCAGCGACCAGAGGAAGCGATGCAGACGCTCGACCGCGTTCGGCTGCTGGAGCACCTGGACAGTCGACACCATCGTCTGTTTTTTTCATAGACGATAGAACAAGAAACATGAGGGGACAAAGGTAACACAGGTTAGTCGCGGCTACAACTCAGCGAAGCTGTTATTTTTTAACTAAATGCTCCTTTTTTATCGCGATTTATTATTATTCACACTGCGCTCTGATAATTGTATTCTATTAAACGCGAGAGAGGCTTTCGACCGAATTAAGTTGATTCTTTAAAGCTCCGCGCGTAAACACGTGTGCATGCCGCAAGTGCAGCAGCAGTAGTAGTACGTCTACGAGCTTTAACTCGGTGTTATTACGAATTAATTATCTTCTCTTGACGCTCGTTGTCGTCGTCGGCTGTCGTTTGGTGCAGCAGTGCAGTCCCCAGGCGGTACCACGACAGCAACGACTACAACGATGACAGCAGCGACGACGGCAACGAAAAAAAAGAAGTTAAAAAGAAACGTCACAACTCGCGACTAATAGATACAACTATCAGGCGAGAACATATTTCTATGCGCGTCACGCGTACGCGAGATGCACATTATGAGCGTTATAATTCATAACACGTGGAATTAGCATAATTGGAACGTGACGGTTGGATTGAGATCAATCGCGAGTTTCGGTCTACGCAATTTTTACCTTATTTTTTTTATCTTTTTTCAACCGAAAATAAGTTTACAAGCTCGCGCAATAAATAAATACCACATATACGCGCCAAAAGTATAATTTCACGGACTCTCTCGACGCGCGTGGGCATTAACGTCTTTTTCGTCCGTTTCTTTCTTTGTCAATGTAATTGATTATTTTTATATTATATAAATAAAAACAAGTACACGTTCGCATCTCGCTGTGTAATAATACACATTATACACACAGCTACACTCGCACGCATGCACAAACACATTAACAAAGCTCGGAATTTCAACGAATCGACAATTAAAAGTTGTGTATTGGACGCGCGCGGCGTGCTACAAGCCGCACATCTCGTTAAGATTTATCGCGTAATTCCCTTATTAAGGCAATCGAACGATGCAAAAAACCGAGAGCCTCGAGCGCGAGTTCGAAAGGCGGGCGAAGATTACGAAAAAATAATTTTTTTTTTATATTCTCAAAATAAGCCGGACGACGAATGCGTGTAAAAATATAGGTGTGCGTACGTATGTGTGTGTGTGTTTGTGTGCGTGCGTAAGCTAAGAAACTCACGCAGCACGTGACAACATTTTATATGCGTAAATGCCTATGCCCGCTGGTGAGCAGTAAATGTAAGCGTGTATGCGCGTGTGGTGTGTTGCATATAGCCTATATATACGCAGCTTCGGGACATGTACGGTGCTGCAGTAAACGTCAAAGCACGTGCCGATGGATTTACGCCTCTCGTCGTTAAAGCAGCACCCATGGGCATCGAAGATTGTCGTCGTCGTCGTCGTCGTCACCCGCTCTCGCGCACTGCATATGCGTGCGACAGAGAGAGAGAGACAACGAGTCTAAAAGCTCGTAAGCAATTATTTAAGCTTAATATATTGTATTTGTAAAGTTGCTTCACGAGCTTTTTTGAGACGCACACAACGGAGCGTGCTCCAATGTGTGCTGGGATTTTGAGTGTGTACTCGTGTTTATGTATCTATGGCATCACGTACGTATAAATAAAGTTTTTTCTCACGAAAAATGAGCCTACGTAAACGACAATACACCGTTTAATCACTGAAGCACCATCGGATTATCCGAACTGAATTGATTATTGTCGCGTATCTCTCGCTGCGAACGCGTCAAGCTAGTGTGACAGTACATCCACACGTTATAAACTCTCGGACGTGTTGCACAAACAGTGTGTCGATTATCCCGCGAGCGCGAGCTTAGAAGTAAAAAACGACGTTCCATTAATCACGCGCCGAGATTACGTATTATTACTATATTATAAAAAGTGATTGATCGCGATGAAAAACTAAGCGGCGCGCGCGCGTGTGCGAGCCAGCTATAGCTGTGTATGTGTCACAGCATCGAGGCGAAATTTCCGCGTTCGCGCGCGACAGCCCATCGTCGTCGTATTATAGTCTAGCTATTTAACTCTTCGTCGTCAAGGTCAACAAAGACGCGAGCTTGACATTTTTCTAAGTTACGTTACGCGCGCGATAGTAATATTTTTCTCCGTCTCGCCGGCTTACCTCGCAAACGCAGGCGACCTGGTCCTGGGTGAAGGTGAACGGGCGCACCTGTCCGTTGTTGTTGAGCGCGGACTCGTGCACGGGACTGCTGTAGCCGGCCGCCGCGGCTGCAGCGGCTGCCGCGGCCACGGCCGCCGCCGAGACGTGGCCGCCACCGACGAGGCCGCTCGCGTAGTGGTCCAGGCTGCTCGCAGTGCCCGACAGACCCGAGCTCGGCGTACTCTGGGGACTATAATCGTTGCTCACTATTAATCCTCCTCGTTGCTGTGAAGTTTGTTGTTGCTGTTGCTGCTGCTGCTGCTGCTGAAGGACGACGTCGCTGGCGGCCGTTGCTGCCGCAGTCGCTCCCATCGCGGAAGCCCCGGCTCCTCCGTAGGCCATCATGTCACCTCATTATCCGTTACCCAGATTGGTCGTGTCGCAATACGATCGCCTCGCCGCGAAAGAGACACTAATTAGCGTGGAGGAGGCGTTTGTTATTCTTCTTCGTTTTTTTTCTCCCTTTTACAGCAGTGCGTTATTAGTCGCTCTCTCTCTATCGCCACTTTGCACGATGATATATGTATATACAATGAATGTTGTGCTGCTGCTGGCGCTGCGGCGTGCGAAAAGAGTTTAAAGAATAAAAGACTATCTTTCTAAGCCTAATGGGTATTAATAGACCTCGGTTAAATTTAGTGTAACCGGCTGAACTATATACACGCGCACTGACACACACACACTCGCGGGCACACCACGGTGGCTCGCTTATGATGTATATAATCTCTCTCTCTTTCTCTTGCTTTCTCTCTTGCTTTTCCGACGTATATACTGCACTTGAGTGTATAAATCTTGGCAATATCTCTCTGCCGTGTGTACCGTATATCACTTAATAATATTTGTACGCAAAGCTTATCATCGTAAGCCACCGTCGCTCTGCGTGTGCTCTGCTGTCCACGATCGAGAATCTATGCACACTCGTAGTAAACTCACACTTGTTTTCATGCACTCGTTTTTTCTTTTTATCATAAAACGATATAATAATAAACGTCACAATTCACGATTGTTCGATACGTCAATTTTGGCAGATCGAGAGATGATACACGAAAGAAAAGAAAATTAACAATTAATCAGACGCACAAGACACTGATTATGTACACGCATATATGATACATAAAACAAAAACGTCTGTATATTTATATACACAATGACTCCGAAACTTGGCGACGCACTCTATGGTCTCTCGCACTCTCTCTGTCTGTCTGTGCTGTGCTGTGCTGTGTGGCCGAGTGGACGCGCCGTCCGCCGCATACATGCATTCGCTCGGTCTCGCGATTTCGAGTCGACTGACTTTATTATAACGCCGAGTTCTCTTTTGCAGCGGCTGGCTGGCCTGCTGCGAGGCATGCGATTTTGTCCGAGCCCCACTCGAGGGAAGAGAGATGGCATATTCTCTCTCGCTGTTCTTTCTCTGTCTCTCTTTTACGCGCACTCGAGACCCCTACCACGAGCCAATAGTTGTACCATCTCTCTCTCTGTCTCTCGTTCGCTTTTGCCGTAATACGCTTCGCGAGGCGGTCTGTGTGTATTATACTCCACTCGCTCGACGCGCAGCGCAGCGCAGGCACAAGGCAGCGAGGCAGCGCCGCGTGTGTAACGCGATTCGTCCTGACCCGGCCATTATCCGGCTCGGTGTCATTGGCTGAGACTCGGGACGCGATCCACGCCCCCATCGCGCGGATATCGCTCCTCGCGCGGCGGCTCGCAACAACGCAGAAGCCACGCCCCGCCCCCCGCATGATTTTGCGCGACTGGTACACACGTATTGCGCGAGTGCACCTCCACTCTTCCGTGTTGTACGTGTGTGCCTGCGTGTGTCTATGTAAAAGGTATATATCTATGTGCGCTAGGGCACGCGAAAAAGAATAAAAGCACTCGGCGCGAGCGATGCGCGTTTCGTAGGGCTTTTTTTTTAACGAGTATAAATGCAAACAGAAAGAGTCTACGTGTGTATTTTTAAGCTTGCAGCTCTCTGCCTCTCTCTATTCTCTGCGTGAAAATGCCTTTTCTCTGCGGATATTTTTTTTTTCGTCATTTTGAAGGTAAAACAACTATACATATTTTTCACGTCGTGATAATAGTACAAAAGAGGGACAATTTTTTTCTATCATTCAAGCTGTGTATACATACCATGTACATGTAACGAGCTTGCTTGTGTGTGCATTGTACGCACGCGTGATACGTTTTTTTCTTCTTCCACCGTTACGTACATGTAAGTTTGTCGGGCGAAAAAATCCAAAACGAAGAGTCACGGATGAATTATACCCGCATATTCAACCCTTTGTTCTTGCTATTTTTAAGGGATAAACGCGCGAACTACCGACGCTCTCACGTCTGCGTTGATTAAAACATATTGCGTGCGATGTTTTTCGTACAAAATATTATTTCTATACTAATTCGAAAGAAAATTATCTTCTAATATTTTTTTCATTAAATATCGAGTCACAGTAAGCGTGTATTGCCCAAGTATAATGACTAAATGAAACGGCTCGTTTTTTCGATTAAAGCGCACTCAAGCTCGCATTATTATACGCCATTATTCGCATTCACCTGCGCCAAAGCACCTTGTAGCCACAATAAACTCTTCGAAAAACTTCTCCTCTCTTTCACGCGTGCGCGCGCGATCAAAAGAGTTATATGTGCAGTGCGCGCGTTATAAACACGTTACGAACCCTCTATACCCTTTTAGCTAGACAGCCAGAAATCGCTTCTCAAGGACTCTCATGGCTGAGTGCGAGAGAGAATTTGACAAAAAAATGTGCAGCAGCATATAGCAAATGCGACGGGGAAAGTCTATAAAGACGCAATTCGGCGACAAAAGAGCAGTACCTATGTGTACGGCACGACTACGACTCCCTCGCTTCGTCGCGCAGCGGTAGCAACAGCAGCAACACGTGTGTGTTTCTTTCACGATCGCGTCGCCCGCGCGTATGCTATGAGAAATATATGTGTACACGAGACAGCCCTCTGACACTTTTCCGCGTGGGACCGCGGCGACTGCACTACGGTAAACGTCAATCATCTCGTGATGTACATTTTTTGAGTACTTTTCTGGACGGTAGGATAACACACACACACAGAAACACGTGTACGCGGTGCAGTAGAGTCTCCGGAAAAATATGAATAAACATTATTCGTCGGTAGTAGCTGCACGTCTCGATGATGTAAGACGTTTGAAGCGAGACGCTCGCGTGCCTATGATAACAAACAACCACCGGCGCATCCTCGCGCGTCTCAAGTGGATACTATGACTTTTCTCACGACATAATGTTTTTTCGTCGTTTAGTAGGAATATACAGTGCGGTATTGTATCGATCGGGGGGTCGAGTGTTTATCTAGCGCTCGACGGTATATGTCCTAAATGATCGCAACGATGAGCGACCGATGATTACGAACATTATGCACGCGGACTCTGATTATTATTATATTTATGTGTATCTCAGCTCGAGCCTCGACGTAAGAGAAAAATCACGCGATAAAACTATAAAAAGAGACCGCAAACGACTCACTCGTTCTCTCTCTCTCTGTCTCAAGAGAGAAATAGAAATTCGATCCCTTGTGATTCCGCTCGCGCGCCGTACACGCATGTATATTCAGCCGAGGACAAATTAAAAAGGAATGGAAAAACAGCTCTATTATACGGATGCCTATTTGTAGCAAAAACCAGTAGCTGCACAGCAGCAGCGGCATCATGGAGATTATTATTATCTGCACCTCCGTATATTCTATGAACGCTGCGACACTTCATAATCCCGAACAAAGCCTATAGCTCCGTTTTTCTCTCTCAAACTTGACTTGGTTCTCTCTCTCCCCGCTGCGTACAGCACATAACGGCGCGCGGGATTTTTAGTCTTATTATCGAGCGTTGACAAGAATGAAATGGTCTCGGCCTATGTGCTAGCTCCATTGTACTGCTCTGTATATGTACCTTTTCTTTCTTGACTGTAGACACTGACTAAGATGTCGCGCGCGCACGAGTTAAAGAACGGAAATAAATAGCGTGAGAGTCGTACGAGCTTTTTTTTCTGTCGAAAAAGAGTAATCGTTGAATCTTCTCTCGATGATATACGCAGAGGAGCAGAGAAACATTTATAACGTTTGTGCTCTCCACATTGGTAATGGAATATAAAGCCGTAAAAAAAGGAAGGTAAAGTTATTAGCCAGTGAAGTTTGGGTAATGGCTCGAGCGCACACGGAGAAAAACTTTCCCTCGTTTAACTATATACGTATATATAAAATACGAAGGCCTCGTCGAACTGCGCGCATAGTTTCAAAAAGCGCAACAACAATAAACGAGCAGCCGCAGCAGCAGCTCTCGTTTTATACGTACAAACACGTCTCTCTGCAGAAATAAAACGCAAACGACGCGCACCGTATACCTATAACACACAGCTGAAAAGTCAAGTTCCGCAAGCCGCAGCGCGCAACAATAGCTGGCCACACGCGACATTGATTTCTCTATTATTATGTGAGTCTACGTATGTAATATGCGTGTGTGTAAGCGCGATCACGCCTCGGTACAACACCCTTCGGGACGCGCAAATTCCCATGTTCACGCCGCATGGGGTATACGTGTGTGTAATGCCACATGTAATCCACCATTCGGAGCGAGCCCTGAGCCCATGCTGGTCGTGTAATTGCGAGAGTTAATTCCAGAGAAGAGAGAGAGGGGCTCGTTGACAATGAGAAAAGTGGCCGATAAATATTACGTGTGCTCGAGGAGACGACTTGTTGAATGTCGCGCGCCAAGAACTGCGGAGAAGAATCGATCGAAGAATTTACCACCGTTTGAAAGGGATCTTGAGCGCAGCTGCGGTCGATGCGTCTCTATGACCCATTTGATTGCCTTTGTATTCGGCAAACTATAATCGCAGGTGTAAATTGTCTCCTTTTTCGGGGACAAAAGTTAACACTTTTTCTGACAGCGAATTATCGTCGGCGAAGAATAACTATAACGTTGCAAAGTGTCGATATTGCCCTATCTTTTCCAAGGTTTGGAGAGGATACTTGACGCACACAATAGGATCGGTTGCAGGGTATAAAGCATCGAGCTGCAGTGTCGCAAATTGCTCCTATACTGATATCTAACTAGCTTGAGAAAGACGAATCAATAGATTTTTCCATTTTTTCGAGAAAGGCAAGTAAATTTTTTCTACGCTTGAAGAGCCCGTTCAAAGATATAAGCGTATCGGATTTTCAACTATTCATGAGAAGCATTAATAATATATTATGTTAGATATAAATCGAGCAGCGTATGTTTTAAGCGGAAATTCGCTAATCTCGTTACATATGACAGAAAATATTTGTTTTCTTTAGCCACGCAAGTTTGGTTTTGTGCGCCTGTCGCGTGCACATCGCGATCTCATTAAATATTTTTACTTATGTAAGCTGGCTATTATCCAAATATTTACTCAAATAAAAATTAGGTAGAATAGAATACGTTACAGCTGAGGACCTGCATCGGGCCCAAGATAGAACTTGTTGTA